GCCGGGTAGACAGATTTTGTCTTATCTATGACAAGCATCTGAATTATGCAGCCGCTGAATATTCCATGAATTTCTGCTTGCGCTAGCACTGTGAGAGTAAAATTTTATTTTACAGTAGTCTCACATTCTTTATCGTTGCAGGGAATATAACAAGAGTCATTTTTCAGTTACATGTTGCCCACTCATGCTAGAGAGAAGCCCCCATCCGAGCAGTTGCATTTAGTCGGATTCAACATCACTTTTTGGTGAGTAGATTCTCAATTTCGAATTTGATGAGCTTTTTTGTTTACAAATTTGCTTCGATTTTGGATTTTGAAGTATCGGTCTTTACACACTTCAATACAATTGTATAGTTTGGTTTTGGATTTGACAGTTTCTATTCTTTTGCGCTGGAATTTATTTATTTTATTTACTTATTTACATATTTTGGAGATTTATTTTTAGGCCGTTATGGCTTCAGTTTACATCGTTATCTCTCGCGATTTTTGTCTTCTATGTTGGATATGGCTATATGCAGGTTGGCTACATTCTCACAATTATACAAATGCTACTTCACGATTTTTTTTTTGAGGAGCTTATTTTCAAACTCCCTGGTATGAAACCCTTCGGGGTTTACCTTACTCTGATCCAGTTCATTATATATAGTGTTTGTGGATGGGCTGAGGGGACTATGTACCACGAAAGGAGTAGAAAGTAGGGCCTATTTTGATAATTCTATCAGCGGTAAGGAAAAATACGAGGTTTCAGGATACCACTGAGGGTGTATTTCTTGTTGGCGTTCTTTACCGTGCTCACTATGGGTCTTTCAAACGCTTCAGTGGGGTATCTTAACTATCCTACGCAGGTTCGTGGTGCTTCTACCTTGACTTTCGGTTTTATCTTGTTTCTTTTTTGACTACGGGCAACCTTTTTGTAGAAACCCTTTCTCTGTCTTCTCAATAGGTGAAATTATTGCAGGTCATTTTCAAATGCTGCAAGCTCATACCAGTCTTGATTGGAGGTATAATCATACAGGGAAAACGATACGGGTGGCTAGATGCTTCGGCGGCTGCGCTCATGAGCATTGGTTAGCATTATCTTTCGCTGTCTTTCTCTTCTCTTCACCCTTTTTTCTTTTTTCAACGATAAAACTTTTTAGGCTTAATCATGTTTGTTCTGGCTGACAGCCACGTTTCTCCCAATTTTGATCCGAGAGGATATATAATGATCTCTGGAGCTTTAGTTGCAGACGCTATCATCGGAAATCTGCAAGAGAAAGTTATGAAAAAGTATGGTGGATCCAGCAATGAAATGGTAAGAAACATTCATAAGTGTTGCTTTTTACCATCTAAGTATTGTTTAGGTCTTTTACTCTTATTCAATTGGATCTGTATATATTCTTGGAATTACAATCTTGACTGGTGAATTCTTCGAGGCATTTGAATTCTTTCTGAATGTCAGTTTGCTCTTTTCTTTTCACGGAATGGTGCAATAGTGCCAGTGATCTGGATGACCATTCGGCGAGTATAGATAGGCGCCAGACTAGCTGCTTGCCTGCTTGTGCAGCATGCGCGCAGAATCAACGACACTAGTAATTTGGCGTCACGTCGGTAGGAAATGAAATCATGATGAAATTTC